CTATCTCTGACATTTAAACTCTGACATAAAATTAGCAAATGGACATTCTCTCCCAGACCCACCTGTTGATGAAGCGGATCCTCCCGAGCAGCAGGTGAGGGTTCTCCCCCAGAGACATGACGCCGAGGACGGACAGAGACGGGAGCAGGACCCGCTCACATCACACCGAGGTCCGGGTCCTGATCTGTCAAAACACCACAACAAAACAGAACATTCACGAGTCTGCGAGTGATCCTTTCATTCAAACACACACTTACGCCTCACACTAACACACCTCTGGCCCCTGTGAGAAGTTTAAGCTCGGTTTTTTACACGGTATTTTCAGTATAAAGTCCAGAAATGTTCTTATCACCTGTAAAACGCGAACTGTGCACTCCTGCCAGTGATAACACTGAGCTAGCCGACTTTAGCATGCTAACAGCTAATAAATGTCCACTTTCTCTACATCTGCGGGACAAACCAACACACTGACTTAAAAGCAGGTGAAAATACACTCAAACAGACATAAACAAAGCCATGATGCCACTGTCCACGTACCGTAATGTTTCAAAGTGCAGGTTAATTTTTTTTTTTTTTTTTTTTTTTGCTGAAGAATCCCCAGCGCTGATGAACTGACTTCTGACAACGCGGAAATGATTACGACACTTTTGGCCCAATGCAACTTCCGTCCGTGGTGTTTCAAAATAATATTTATAATAACACTGTTTACATGAAAACTGTCTGAAATTGTCACATGGTTTAGTTTGGACATGGACTAGAGAATAATTTGACTGTTTCCTTTTGAGAAATCATATCAGGCGCTTCACATTCTCCTTTGCAGCAACTAAAAACTGATGGAAAAATTATTTGAAAAGTTCATTTCCTTTATCTCAAGACATAGACTTAGACAAACTTTATAGATCCACAAGTGAAATTATTTGGAGACAGTAGATCACAATATAATATAGTATGATATGACATAACATAACATAATATAATATAATATAATATATGATATGATATGATATAATGCAATATAATGCAATGTAATGAACTGGATTAAATATAATATAATAACAAAGACTGACCCCATATTTCTATCCCTCTATGTCCTCTCTCCTTCCACACACCTGCAATATTTTATACAGTGCAAAATTTAAATACAGTGCAATATTTTTAATTTAGTGCAATGTTTTTGATTGAGTGCAATATTGAAATACAGTGCAATATTTAATATAATGCATTATTTAATACTAGGTAATAGTTTTGATTGAGTGCAATATTTAATAATACAGTGCAATATTTTTGATTGACTGCAATATTGAAATACAGTGCAATATTTAATATTTTTTTTAAACCTCTGGCTGTTCAGTTCTCACCTTTGTACCATTTCAAGCTCTTCATTGGACTTGCACAACTTGAATTGCAATAAATAACTGGAAAAATTAGGGGGTTCTACAACTTTTGACATGTATGTATAGTAAAAATAAAAGGCATTCTCATTCTCAAAAAATAAAAAATATGAATGGTAATAATAAATTCTAAATTAGTAGCAAAAAAGTAGCAAGAGTTAAGTGGTTGTATAAGACATAATTATATAAATGTAAATATACAAAATAAAATACAAAAATAAGTAATAAAGTATACTTCAACTTCAGGTTACATTTCAGAATACAGCCTCAGTCACACCATGATGTCTAATAAGCAGTTGGTATCCAAGTGTTAGAATAATTCTATTATCCCATATTTGCTAATTGCAATTGTAAGGAATGTGAATAATCTCTCTTGTGTTTAACACCTGTGTGCAGTGGCCTATCGTTCTTGTGAACCCTGAGATGACCTCTCACGTGAAGCCAACCCCCACTGTCACACATGCAAGAGTTATGATGGTGTCATATGTGCATAATCTATTTGTGTGTTGTTGTTTTTTTTTTTTTGTTTTTTTTTTTTTGTAGTGCGTCAGCATTTATCCCATCTGCTCTCTATGAATGTGTGTCTCTGCTCTGATGTCTTCTCCCTATGTGTCCCCTCTCTCTAGTCTGTTTCTCTTTGTTGAAGCAATGAGGACTCTTCTGTCTTCACTCTCACAGGACTAAACTCTGGGACAGACCTGCAAAATATAAGACGCATTTGTATACTTCAAACCCAATCTGAATATTTGTAATAGAAATTAATAAGAATGAATTACAAAATAAAGAACTGCAGTTTGAAAGTACCTGAGACTCACACTTGCAGCTGAATCGCTTCCTGTTTGACGTTGTATTCTTCTTTAATTAAGACCGAACTTGACTTTCTAACAATGAGGAGATGTCAAAACGCCCTCCTCTGAGTCTAATTGGCTCATTTCCACTCCACAGCGCCCCCTAGTCTGGTGCATTTTGCTGCGGTCCTCATTAGTCCTCATGGAGCTCTTTTGCTGTTTAATGGCTGGTCAGTTTACCGTGCATCACCCCGCTCTTCCTCCTCTTCCTCCTCTTCCTCCTCCTCTTCGCTGCTGTCTGCCTCTGGTGTGTACGAGCTGCTGGTTATTAACAAACACTTATTTTGGGGGCTGAAAAGTCTGCTAACAAGCACTTTGGGTGAAATAAAGTCCAATTACTTCCTTCACACACTCACACATTCCAGACTCTCTACATTCCCTGGGGTGTGATGCTATTTTTAAGCACTGCTCTGACTATTTGTTAGACTTAAATCTTGATCTTATTTAGCTGGAAGTCATAATTTGCACATTTTAAATTACAATATTGATCTAAAATGACTTAATAAAAGAAACAAGTCTGCTGATTGTTGACTGCTGCTGTAGGAGCTGTAGTAGGAGTGGTAGTAGTAGGAGGAGGAGAAGGAATAGGAGTAGCTCTAGTGCAGCTGTAGTAGTAGCTGTAATAGTGTAGTAGTAGTAGTGGTAGTAGTAGTAGTAGTAGTAGTAGTAGAAGTAGTAGTAGTAGTAGTAGCTGTAGTAGTAGTAGTAGTAGCTGTAGTAGTAGCAGTAGTAAATGTAGTAGTAGTGGTAGTAATAGGAGGAGGAGAAAAGAAAGAACAGAAGTAGCTCTAGTAGCAGCTGTAGTAGTAGCTGTAGTAGTAGTAGTAGGAGGAGGAGTAGCAGCAGCAGCAGTAGTAGTAGTAGCAGTAGTAGTAGAAGTAGAAGGAGGAGGAGGAGGAGAAGGAGTAGCAGCAGCAGCAGCAGCAGTAGTAGTAGTAGCAGTAGTAGTAGTAGGAGGAGGAGGAGGAGGAGGAGAAGAAGAAGAAGGAGGAGAAGGAATAGAAGTAGCTCTAGTAGCACCTGTAGTAGTAGTAGTATTAGCAGTAGTAGTAGTAGTAGCAGAAGTAGTAGTAGTAGCAGGAGTAGTAGTAGTAGCTGTAGTAGTAGTAGTAGCTGTAGTAGTTGTAGTAGCAGTAGTAGCTGTAGTAGTAGTAGTAGTAGCAGTAGTAGTAGTAGTAGTAGCTGTAGTAGTAGTAGTAGTAGTACTAGTAGTAGTAGTAGTAGTAGTAGTAGTAGTAGTAGTAGTAGTAGTAGTAGTAGTAGTAGTAGTAGTAGTAGCAGTAGTAGCTGTAGTAGTAGTAGTAGCAGTAATAGCAGTAGTAGTAGAAGTCTTTGAAGTGTGGGTGACAGGTGAATTAACTAATCAGGGACAGTCATGGTCTCTCCAGACTGTCAGGTTTGTGGAGATGCAAGCCCACTCACAGTAAGGACACATGCTTTTATACACGTTTCAGTGCAATATACACATTAAATAACGAAAAAACAAACAAACAAACAAAAAACAAACAAACATGCTTTTATTTGAATCTTTTTAGCAAAAAAAGGTACATACCAGGGCTTTATAGTACACTTTCATTGTACAGAACTACACAGAGCTACTTATATAATATTTTCAGGAGTATTTATTGTTACTATATATTTCTAAACCTTGTAAAATATGAATTAGAGATAAGTTTAATAAAATATCAAATCATGTTTATACTTGTAGTAGTAGCGTTGATTCTGATACCACAACAACAACAACAACAACAACAACAACAATAGTCTGTGATTTTTAACATTAAATCATAGTACTTTCTTGTATTTTCCCACGGCCTTATATCTATGTAACCCCTCAATGGTCCAGGTCGGTTTCATAGTGGTCCATGGGTGTATACTAGTCTATGTGCTCTTATATTTGTTCTGACACAGCTCAAGATCATTCTAAAGCGATTCAGGAAAGGTTCATTTCGTGTTTCAAATCTATTTACTTTGAATAACAGCTTTAGTATCGATTAGTATCTGAGTATGTGAAGTTTTAGGACAATATAGCCTATGTAATCTAATCAATTATTAAATACAATGTCATTAATAATTAAAATGATATGTTGAAATCATCTTGCAACTCACTGCTCAGTGCTTCAAGAGTCTCACATTGGGAAATCTATTTGGTGTTATGAAGCTATTTTCTGATCTATGCTGTAATTTCCTCGTCACAAACAGACCTGGAGTTGTGTTTTGTTTCATTCACACATGTTTAACACACAAACCCTGGATATTTAGGCTGAGTTCTTCCCTCATACAAAAAAATACTTGTGATTTTTTTCCATACACCCTCACTAGAATCAGAAATAATTCATCATTTCAGTCTGTGAATTTTTTTAGTCTACTGAACAAAAGGTAACAAAAGGGACAGTCCAGAACTTTGGACATAGGACCTCATTTCCTAGTGAGCCAGAGTGTTGGAGACGTGTGGAGACACTTTTTAAAATATTCCATCCGGTCCTTGTATTTGCAGAGGAAAATGGGTCCAGAGACAGAGTGCCTCCAGCTCCCATGAATTCATCTGAGTACAGATCTGATCCGGAAATGAGGTCCTAAGTCAAAAATTAACATTAATATTGGACATTAACATCCCTTTAACATGAAAACTACCGATTCATGACATCACAAGGTGTGTGAATGAAACAAAACAACAACTCCAAGTCTGTTTTTGATGAGGTAACTGCATTATAACATGGCTAAAAACTCACAAGAGTCGGTTTTGCGTAATAGACGACCTTTAATCATTTTGTGTTACTTCAATGGTGACCAGCTTGTCCGTCTCTGTCTTGTGATTGGTCGGGTCGTTTCCGTTGTGCTCGTCTTGGTTGGTCACATCGAGCAGAGAGGGCAGACTGGCACCACGCAGAATCCCTTTAGTCTTTTGCACAAACTGGGTCAGCCCGTCGCCCAAAGAGCCTCTGGGGGCGAGGTAGTGAGTTTTACCGTCTGCATTCATGGGGTAAGTCTCCAGGTCATCTGCACTCATCCTGGGAACAGTTAGATCACAACAAGTTTGTATGTAAGTTTGTGTTTTTTTAGTATTTTCATAGTTTGAGTGAAAGTATCAGGTATGCAGTGATAAGAAGAATACTTTGAAAATGTATTTAGTTACAGAATACTGAAAACCTGCATTAAAATGTATTTTGTGAATACTGAGAATACTTTCACACAGAGTTTCATTTAAATGATAGCATAAACATGCTACACTGGATTAAAAATAGCTTTATGTTTGTTCTGCATTCATTTATCACACACCTCAAAATAACAGCGGTATTTTAATTTTTTTCATTAATTCTGTGCAGTTTGAAGCCTAAATTGTGTGGTCAAGTAAAGCCATGTATTCATTTGAAAAAAGAAAAGTTACTGTATTCTGAATATCACCAAATGAAAAAGTAACTGTACTGGAATACAGGTACTCATAATGAGTATTCAGAATGTACTGAATACTCATATTTTCAGTACTTTTAGTAATTTACTTCCCAACACAGCTAGTATGGCATTATCAAAGTTCTTAAAAAGGGGGAATTTTATTTCTATAGGGTATTAACTAACACAGAACATATTTAGATCACCATGCTACCTTTTATTGTTTCAAAAAGGCTATATTTGCAGAAAACAGCCTATTAGTTTCACTTTTGTTTTCTAACACTCTGAGTCTCCCCTCACTTTACTCTCACTCACTCCCCCTTCAGAGCACTATCACAACACAATCAGCGTGCACCTGCTATTGAAACTACTGCACATTGTGTCAGGTTTGTGCAGTTGTTGTGTAGCTTTGTATCATGTTTGTATATTTATGGAGAATTCTCATGTGGGAGCATGGGTGACGTAGGCTTGTGAACGAAGCACAGAATCTTGTACAGAATCTTACAGATAACTGTAAGAAGGGTTCAAATACGGCCCTATGGATGACATCTAAAACATCTTCAGGCATGTTTCTGATGATGGAATAATGTTATAACATGATTGAAAGCTCAAAAAAGACAATAATACCCCCTCTTAAACTATAATATCTGTTGGGAAAATGCATCTCTTAAGACAAATTTTATGAGAATGTGAATAGTCAGTGTTCTTTACATGCTCGGTGTGTAGCTGACCTCATGTCGTAGGTGGAGCCCTTAAAGGCCGGTGTGAGCGTCTCTGCTGCTGTGGACAGAGTGTAGGGCACAGAGAAGTATCTCTGAGCCCAGTGTTTGTCCTTCTCTAGAGGAACGAGGTTCTGATACATGTCGTCCACCGCCAGCATGGACACCTGCAGCACAGCAACAACACAGACAGTTACAGTGGGACTAAACACTAAACTCTGCCCATAAACATGTTTCAAATGGAACTGATAAACTGGGCAGAACCTGGAGGACTACAGCTTGATTTATACTTGCCAAAAAAACTATAAATGCTGCCCAAGTTTCCTCTAATGACTTTGTGCATCTAATCTCCATGTGGAATCTACATGTGGAAAGTATAAACAAAGCTTAAAGGGGAGACTGAGGAGGTTTGGGGTCTGGAACTACAGTATGAAGCACAATGTGGTCTTGGTTTGTAATTAGAAAGACCTGCTGTCGTGAGGGCAGTCCTGTGTGATGTCACATAGTACTTGAAATTGCAGTGGCCACTGGGGGCGAACAAAGTTGCAAATCTATAGTTTGCACCAGGAATATAAAGATTTTCCCTTCCAGACTGACGGTATCATATGGGAATATGTTTTATATAACAACGCATAACTTTCCAACCATGAAAAGCTGAGACTTGTGGCTTTTTGAGAATATTTCCATTATCTTACGTCACGTGCACACTGTGTGATGACGTAGGGAAAATGAATGTCCAATAAGAACTTTGTTTTCTGCCAAACACATGCAATTCATCTATTTTGGTTGGACCAAACTTTGCCAAAGAGTGTAGTGAGTCAAAATGGTCAATGCCCTAAGTGTCTGTATTTGTAACAACTGAAACAGCCGCTCTAAGTGCAATTATTTCTCAAATAAATGGCAAATTATGCATGTTGGTCTGTGTAATTGCGCATCCCTTGTTATATCTGTGCCCTGGACCTGACACAAGCTGTTTCCATGACTGGCACCAATAAAATCATTGGACCATTGTACTTTTTGTTTTGTTTTGAGGGCAAAAAGGATATTTTGAGTTTACTTACAAACTTGATATTTTGCACTTTTGTAGCTATGGCTCTAAATTAGGTATTTTTTTAAGATCCAAAAAGTTGTTTATACATGTTTGCTGTATGTTTTGCATGAAAGAGTGTGAATTTTATTTTCCTTATTTTTATTTTTTTTTTTTTCTGGTCCTATAGCTTTTATTACAGCCATATGACACAACAACAGCGTGCAGGTTGTGAAATAACAGGTTGTACTGAAAAAAAAGGATGCATAACACTTCATTAAGGGGTAAAGGGGGAGTTTAATCACAAAATTAACAAAAATAAATAAATCCAGGTGAGGACAAATGTACTAAAATTGCCCGTAGGTCTTGAAGGCTTAAATCTCTCCTGGTACAATATTTATTGTGATATTTCACAATACCACTAGTGTACAGGATGTGCTGTTGTTGTGTCCATGGGCAAGACACTTCACTTACATTGCCACTAGTTTGCTTGAGTCAAAAAGAAGATTTATGAAATGACCTGAATGTTGCGGTCAATAAGTTGGTTGGTTTCAAAGTCATCGTCGTCTTCACCGAACGGGTTAATGATCAGCTCTCCAACCTACACAGAGACAGGAAGTACTCAGTTACATTTACTCGAGTATGTTTTAGATGAAGACACAACTTTATAAAATGACTTTATGTCCATGATATAAGACCTTTTAATTAAAAAAAATCATTGTTACGTTCCAACATTTACTCTTTAAGTTCAGTAGTAGTTTTCCCAAATACTTTTTTACTCTTGGGTAAGTTCTTGAACCACTACTTTGTACTTCTAGTTAAGAATTATTGTTTTGAAGTAACGTTACTCTTACTTGAATACAATATTTGGCTACTCTACCCACCTCTGCATAACATATAGTTGTATGTTGCATGTGAGTGGATGAGAGTACCTTGAGCCAGCCGGCGTAGAAGAAAAACTGCAGTAGAGTGAACACGGGCACGTACATATCGATCTTGTGGTCCTTGTATCCTTTGGCGGGGTTCAGAAACTGTCTCCCGACCACACAGAAGGCAAAGAACGAGTACACAGCGATCGTCACCACCTGCAGAATTTAAGAGAGTCTAGACCAGGGATCTCCAACCTTTTTGCGAACTCAGCCTAAAAATGCAAGTGTGAATGAAACAAAACACAACTCCAGGTATATTTTTAAGTGTTCTTTGTGAATTTCCGGTGGTTTGCGCTGAAGTTGTGGTCGTCTGTACCTGTGTGTAGACCAGAGGGATGCTGATCCAGTCATAGTGAAACAAAAGGCTGCACTTGGCTCTGTAGTTGTTCAGCTCCTGGAGAGAAAACACAGATACCAAAAATAAGGACTCAACCAGGGTCAAAACCAGGGACAAAACCAGGTCTTAACAAGGACTAAACCAGGACTAAACAAAGACTAAACCAGGGTCAAAATTAGGTCTTAATAAGATCTAAACCAAGACTTAACCAAAACTAAACCAAGACTAAACCAAGGCTAAACCACCAGTAAACTAGGTCTAAAAAAGAACTAAACCAAAGACTAAACCAGGACTAAACCAGGGCTGAACCAGGACTAAACCTGTGTCAAAACCGGGTCGTAACAAGGACCAAACCAACTCTAAACTAAGAATAAACCAGGACTAAACCAAGGATTGAACCAGGACTGAACCAGGTCTTAACCAGAACTAAAGTAAGGATTAAAGTAAGGACTAAACCAGGACTAAACAAGAACTAAACCAGGACTACACAATGACTATACCAGCTCTAAACAAAGAATAAACCAGGACTCAACCAGGGAGTAAACCAGGTCTTAACCAGGACTAAACTAAGGATTAAACCAGGACTAAACAAGCACTAAATAAGAACTAAAGAATTACTAAACAAAGACTAAATCAGGACTAAACCAGGGCTGAACCAGGACTAAACCAGCATCAAAACCAGGACTAAACAAGGACTAAACCAGGACGAAACAAAGAGTAAACCGGGACTACACAAGGATTGAACCAGGGCTCATCCAGGGACTAAACCAGTTCTTAACTAGGACTAAACTAAGGATTAAACCAGGACCACTAAAGAAGGACTAAAGAAGGACCAAACCAGGACTAAACCAGGACTAAACAAGGACTAAACAAAGACTAAATCAGAACTACACCAAGGATTGAACCAGGACTAAACCAGAGCTCATCCAGGAACTAAACCAGGTCTTAACCAGGACTAAACTAAGGACTAAACGAGGACTAAACAAGCACTAAACAAGGACTAAAGACAGACCAAACCAGGACTAAACCAGGAATAAACAAGGACTAAACCAGGACTAATCCAGTGTCAAAACCAGGATTAAACAAGGACAAAACCAGGACTAAACCAGGACTTAAAAAAGACTAAACCAGGAGCACACAAGGACTGAACCAGGACTCAACTGCGGAGTAAACCAGGTCTTAACCAGGACTAAACTAAGGATTAAACCAGGTCTTAACAAGGACTAAAGCAGGTCTAAATCAGGTCTTAACCAGCACTGAACCAGGACTAACACACTGTAAAATCAGATCAGATTATTGACTCCATATTGAAGTTAAACTCCTCACGTCCATGAGCAGTCTCAGAGCGATGTCGTCCCTCACGCGGCCCTCCTCGCGGGCTCTCGAGGCCAAGTTGGAGAACCAGGTCAGAGGCATCCAGTATTTGTTATAGTCCGAGTGCAGAGATTCAAACAGTTGCAGCTCCGGAGGCGTCATGAAGCCTGCAACACAGTCCGGTTTTACAGTGAATATATGAAGGTTTTTACGTTTTTTTTTCTAATTCTGACTTGGTTTGGTGAGATACGACCTGAAGCTAGTATGAGGAACTGCCTTGTCTGAAGCTCTTTTATTCAAGTTAGACTTTAATCTGAGCTTTATTTTACAATCTGACTATAAAGAACTGACTGAATTATAACAGGTGATCTGATTTGTGCTGTTAAAAAAGTCACTCCCCCATAAAATTTATCACAACCTAGAGTTTTTCTGTTCTGTTGAAAATCAAACTCCTAAACACGGACATGAACGCTCGTATTGATCACATTTTGTATTTTTTCATCAGTTTTCAGACTTTTTTTTGTGTGCGTTATGTCTACATGGTAACTGTTGAACATTCTGCCATAGACAAACATGTAGTCCACCCCCAGCAGGATGCCATTGCAAAGTATCAATACCTCTACCATTGTCCAACACTCAAAATTCCATCACAAAAATAGGATGACCAGATGTTCTTGTTTACCTGGGATAGTCCCAGTTTTGAGCCTTGTGTCAAAGTCTTACAAAGATCACTTTTTGGCGCTTTGAGGGTTTAAATTTTTTTTGAAGTTTATGTTGTGAAAATAGAAAGAATCCCTACAAAATCTGACCTCTGTGAAAGTTGTTGATGCCTCGTCAGCTGAACACAGGCAGTTTAAATTCCTCAAAAACATGCATTGTGCTCTGTGGGAAAATTCTTTCTGGGCCTGAGCTCCGGGGAGCTGCAGTACCTGGAGCTGCCACTAGTCTTTATTATAGATCCATGAGACCACTAGACCAGAGCACAGCCCTGCTCCTCACCGGCCTCCACGACATGTTGCAGTGTGGGAAACCTCTTGTGCACGCGGGTGCTGATGGAGCGCAGGATGAGCACAGACGAGAGGTTTGCGTATCTCATGAGAGTGCGTCTGAGCAGGCGTCCCCTGGTGTCCGAGCCGTGTACGTTCCCAGACACCACCATCATGAGGTTATCAGGCAGAGGGAACGACGTGTACTGCCCCCACCAGCGGTTAAACGCCAGGGTCACGTAGAAACCTGCACAACCAAAGAAACACATGAACATGGTTTATTTTAAAGGCGAGTGATGACTTTTTTATTGTTTTTGTAAAAGCTCAAAACATGTCCACAATGTGAAAGAACTGCTACATTTTAAAAACATTTCTGTGAATTTCTGAGTCTATGTGTGGAGGAGTTGAATTGTTGTGGGGCGAGAAACTACTTTCACTTTCCATTTGCTGTATGAAGCTAATTTGAGTTACTATATGTTGTGCTGTTCATAGTTCTACCTCAGTGCCACTCAGTCAAACACTGAGGGGCAATTTTACGAATAAAATGATGTCTGTGCAAAACTTAGGGTTAGGTAGGATGACCAGACTTTCAGAATAAAAAACTAGGGCATCCCTGGTTTGTGGTGGTTGGTAATAGTAATTGTGAAACAAGTTCATAATTAAGGAAAATATTTCTGCACTCGGCTTTAATGTGGGTCAGTATAGTCACATTTTCTGTCATTTTTAAGCAGCTTTTCTGTATTTTACCTTAACAAATGACAATTTTTGTCTCTTTTTACTGTTGACAGGGATCAAGTAGGTTAAAAATAGGGACACCTGGGACATTTCTTGTATAAAACTGCGACAAATTAGTGGTTTTGGATAAATCTGCTGGGACAGGGGACACAGGGCTTAAAGCTGGGACTATCCCAGGTAAATAGGTAAAAAGGTGCACTATGTAACTGCTACATGCTTTTCTCCAGAGATGTTTTTGCTTTGCCTGGAATGTTCCATAGTATGGCATTATACTTATCTATACTTCTAATGCTAAAAACACTTATGAGCAGGACAGCCTCAAGCTCGAGTTCTGACCTGTAACAATGGAGGTGTCACTTGTTTGTCTCTACAGAGATACATAAGTTTAATGCCACACAAGGGAACATTCTGGGCAAAGCAATATCTCCAGGGTGATGTACAGGTGGCACACCATCTACCAGAATACTTCACATTTAACAAAAAATTGCACATGCAGGACTTCAGGGGTCATTTTATAATATAATAAGATTCTGAGGGTTACCAGTGCAAATCCAACTCTAGTCTGATCATACTGTTGATTTGTCCTTGAGCAAGACACTTCTCCCACACTATCTGCATATATGGAAGATTTTTTTTTCATCAGATTTAGAAATTTAATTGATGTCTCACATGTTTCAAAACACGTCATATTGTTTTTATTCTGAACTTCAGTTAAATAATATATATACAATTTAAAGTCACTATTTAAATATTCAGCACATTTATTCTGAAGTCCTCAGATTCAACATTCAGAGTGGAAAATTTGCAGTAGAAAAAAATGGCAGCAAAGATCCAAGATGTAAAGGCGTAGGCACTGATGTGAGCGGACCGAGCGAACAGATGAACGAGCTGAGAGGAGTTGACTGACAGATGTAGAGGCTCACCCAGTACGAAGAGCACAGGGATGTAGTTGGTGTTGGTGAACTGGTCGCAGTACAGGGCGACGCGCTCAAACAGGTCCTGCTGCTTCGGAGTCAACAGAAATCTGAGGGAGAAACAAAGATTACAGCAGCAGCAGCCTGTACCTGATTCTGAACCATGAGACAGGGACATGAACTGTGGTCCGCCCACTTTGTCCTTTCTGACGTTCAGATATTCAGAGGTGGGCAGTACTCAGTTACACTTTTCTTTTCAGAGTACTTTTCTAGCAGCATACTATTACTTCTACTTCAGTAATATTTTTTTTATTGAAGTAAGTTAGTTATTTAGTAACAAAAGCTTTATGTGACAACACTCAGCAAAAACGGGAGGGTTAAAATTTATGGGTAAAATATTTCAGAGTTGTTTTTAACACAAAAGAAAAGTTAAATAGGGGTTCGAGTTGGGGTTATCTGCCTGAGTTGATATGGCTGAAGTTAATTCATCTCCCCCTAGTGTGTTCAACTTTCACTAGTGCTAATTCAACTTCCCTAGTGTTAATTTGACACCTCCCACCCACCACTTCAAACTCCCACCAGAGAAGACCAGTTTGAACCAGTTTTGTACATAATTTCATCTTAAATTAACAAAAATAAAGTGTAAAAATAAAATACGTCTGTGTGTTGTTTAGCTAAATCAGGATAATCTAACAAAGTGTTATCCATTTACACTCAAAACGTTAATATAATTCTTAATTTCTGAGTTAAAGAGGAATTTTGGTCCAGTGTTATTTAATTAACATTTCCAAAAATGTTAAATTGACTCACATTGGACAGATCATGTAAAAGCCTGAGAAAATGTTAAAATTGATTGTGTGAGAGTCAATTTTAACACTCCACTTTTTGTTGTGTATGAAATGATTTGAACGTTTGTGTTTCTTGCAGCGCTCCTTCAGATACAATTTAGTTTGTCTCATTTTTGTGTCTATTCCTTGAAAATACCAGCATTGTGCACTGTTTAATGTTTTGTCCTTCATTAAATTCATATACTACTCTAGCCCAGCAAATTAAATTAAATTAAATTAAATTAAGTATTCTGTGTGTACCTGTAGAAGATGCTGAAGAAGAAGTAGACCACACAGAAGACCACACACTCTTTGTAGACCAGTCTGTAGATGCTCCCCTTCCACCTGAGCAGAAGTCTGGAGAAACCCCAGAACCGAGCGTCTGCCACCTCCAGAGAGTACGACACCGTCATGGTAACCAGCTGAGAGAGAGTAAACACATATTAAAGCTAGACTGTGTAACTTTTCATCAAAAGCATCTACCAGTTGAGTCTACACTTAAAATAAGAAAAAAAAGTGAATGTTGTTTAAATTAAGAAAAACACACTTATTCCATTGGCAGATAATTTTACTTGTCAAGTTGAATCTATTCCAATAAAGTAAAATGTTCTTAATTTAAGTCATTTTAACTAACCTAGATATTGTTTTTTTTCCAGTGAGATAACTGAATAACTTTAAATTCTAAATTAGACGACAGCTCTTTAAATTACTCTTGCGTAAAGTAGCACTTTTCGCAAATCCTTTTTAACTTTTGCTCGAGTAATTCCATTATTCTTACTTGAATAAAATTTTCAGCTACTCTCTGACACAACAGACTAAATTAATAGAAGTTCTCCTTCTCTAGTTTAAACTCTGATGCATTCGTACCTGTGGAGAGGCGTCCTGCAGGTGGACGTGTCCTGGAAAAAACAGCTCTTCCTCTTCTTCGTGTTTTTAAACCTTTGGGTCGAGTCATAATTCATCTTGATGGGAACACAGAGCTGCCAAACAATCACAGAGTGCAAATGTATAAAGAAGTTATACAATTAATTTATACGTTTCCTGTTTATTCTAATGCTATAACTTGAGCTCAGGTGAATAGATACTTGATTCTCAATACTGATTCTGATACCAGGATGATAATAAAAAACATTCTTTATTTACACAATAAATTGATACAAGTGTGAATATTGTGACTTCTTTGGATTCTTTCTGCCTCCTTTTCTCTTTTTTCTGTCTCTGATCTCTCTTCTCCTGCTCCCTTCTTTCTCTCCTCTCTCTCTTTTTATATATCATTGTTTCTCTTTCCTCTGCCTTCCCCTTCCTCTCTTTCTTCTCCCTCCTTTCTCTCTCCTTCCCTCTCTTTCTCTCCTCCTCTTATCTTTCTCCTCTCTCTTCCTCCTTCTCTCTCTCACATGCCTCACTCTTCCCCTTCCTCTCCTCCTTTCTCTCTCCTCCATCCTCATGCTCTCTCCTCCTCTCCTCACTTTCCTCTTTCCTCTCTTTCTCTCTTCCTCTTATCTTTCTCCTCTCTATTCCTCCTTCTCTCTCACACGCCTCACTCTTACCCTTCCTTTCTCTTTCTTCTCCCTCTTTTCTCTCTCCTCCATCCTCACACTCTCTCCTCCTCTTCCCTCTCTCCTTTCCTTTCTTTCTCTCCTCCTCCTATCTTTCTCCTCTCTCTTCCTCCTTCTCTCTCTCTCACATGCCTGACTCCTCTCCTTCCTTTCCTCCTTTCTCTCTCCTTCATCCTCACGTTCTCTCCTCCTCTCCCCTCTCTGTCTCCTTCCCTTTCTTTTTCTCCGCCTTCTATCTTTCTCCTCTCTCTCACACACCTCACTCTTCTCCTTCCTCTCTGCCTTTCTCTCTCCTCTATCCTCACACTCTCTCTTGCTCTCCTTCTCCTATCTTTCTCCTCTCTCTCTCTAATCTCTCCCCCTCCTCCTCCTCGTCCCCTCTCTGTCCTCATTCACTCTCTCCTCCTCCTCTCTGTCTCCTCACTTGTCTCTCTCTCGTCACCCTCTCTTCCTTCTCTCCAATCTCTCCTCCTCCTCCTTCTCCTTGTCCTCCTCCTTGTCCCCTCTGTCCTCATTCACTCTCTCCTCTTCTCTATCTCTCTCTCTCCTCACTTCTCTCTATCTTGTCACCCTCTCCTCCTTCTCTCCAGTTTCTCCTCCTCCTCGTCCCCTCTCTGTCCTCATTCACTCTCTCCTCTTCTCTATCTCTCTCTCTCCTCACTTCTCTCTGTCTCGTCACCTTTTCCTCCTTCTCTCCAATCTCTCCTCCTCTTGTCACCCGTCATTCACTTTTTCCTCCTCTCTTCTTCCTCCCCCATAACTCTCCCCACCTCACTCTCTTTTCCCTCCTCCTTTCTCCCTCTCTTCTCTCTCTCCCTCTTCTCCAACTACCTGTCTTCCTTCTCTCTTTCCTCTTCTCCTCTCCTCTTGTTTGCTTTTCTCAGGCTCTGTCTCTCTCCCTTTACGTCCACATTAAACTCACGCACTCCCTGTTTACAACATCATCCATCCAAACACTGTCACACACTTCCCTGTTATAACACTCACAAGAGCTGTATATTGTTCTAGTGTCAGGACTCCCACGGTCATGGAAATCCTGGAAAAGTCATGGAAATTGAAAATGTCATTTACCAAGCCTGGAAAAGTCATGAAATTACTGTAAATTCACTGAAAGTTTTGGAAAAGTCATAGAATTTTAGTATGTCTTTAACACAACTACAGCATTCTGTTAAGTTCTCATTAGACTATTATGATTATTTCTGAACGTCTGCATCTTTTGTTTAAAAGAGACGCCAATAAATGCACTGACAGTATTTTGAATGTTAAAAAACTATAATACCAAACCATAAGGTGAGTGGAAAGGGTTAACATTTCATATTTAGCCGTAAAAGTCTGATAAATTCTATACATGTAGGTGCCGTAAAGTCATGGTAAATTCACTTTAGATCATGAAAAAGTCATGAAAAAGTTTTGAAATTTTGTCAGTGAAAAAGAGAGAGAACCCTGTAGCTTTGCCAAGATATGAACATTTCTTGATTTTGATACTAAGGAATAGACTCGATACTCAATACTGATTCTGATACCTTTGTGATCAATTAAAAAAAAAATTCTTTAGTCAATAGAATGTGATATTTTACATTAAATCAGTTTATTTTATATTATCATGTGGCCTTATATCTGTGTAATCCTTCAGTAGTCATATACTGGTCTATGTGCTCTTATACTTGTTCTGATACACCTCAAGATCATTCTATAAATATTCAGGAAAGGTTCATTTCTGTTCTGTGAATGTACACAGCAAAAAGTGGAGTGTTAAAATTTACTCTCACAGAATCAATTTTAACATTTTCTCAGAGTTTATATGAGTCCAGTCTGTTCTAGAGTTAATTTAACATTTTTGGAAATGTTAATTAAGTAACACTGGACCAAGGTTCCTGTTTAACCTTGAAATCCAGAGTTATATTAACGTTTTGAGAGTAAACAGACAACACTTTGTAGGGTTATCCTGATTTAGCTAAACAACACACAGAGGAGTTTTATTTTATTTCATTTTTACATTATTTTATTTCATTTAAGATGAAATGATGTAAAACTGGTTCAAACTGGTCTTCTCTCACAAGAGTTTGAAGTGGTGAATGGGAGGAGTCAAATTAAATCTAAGAGAAGTTGAATTAACACTAAGAGAAGTTGAATTAACACTAAGGGAAGTTGAATTAGCACTAGAGGAAGTTGAATTAACCTCAACCACATCAACTCTGGCAAATAACCCCAACTCCAACCCCCATTTAACTTTCAAATAGTTAAAATAACACTTTTGGTGTTAAAAACAACTCTGAAATATTTTACCCTAAAATTTTAACCCTCCAGTTTTTGCTGTGTAACTTTTTAGTATTGATGCCAGCTCAGGTGAGTGTCTAGTTTTGATACTAGTTTTTGTATTGATTAGAATCAGATTTTCAAAACTTTTGACTGGTAGATATAAAAACTGTATACATAATTGCAAAGTGAAATGCTTATAGAACAAACGATTATACTTCTGTTTGGTCACTAGAGGTCGCCTTTGTCACACTCCAAACACTTGCAGAATCCTTATTAAACATATTTGGGAGACCATCCCTGTGAATTCATGGATTTTTATCAAACTGCTTCTAATGTAAAAAACAAAAGTAACTATTGACTCTACAGGACAAGGAGGGGTGCAATAATATTTGATTGGCTAGAAGGGAATCTGGCTTAAAATCTGGTACATTGCAAAGTTGAATCTGGAGTTAATATTAGTGTGATCCCTCGTCCTTTAGCTCCAATCCAGAAACCATTTCACATTTGATAGAACTGACCCGAGGTAGTATAGGATTTATACTAATACTGCTCTGAGTGAACTCCAGCCCGAAAGGGAGGAGTTTGAGCGTGAACCTGCCTTTGTTTACAAGTACAGAGTCATATAAAGCCTATTGTCTTAAGTTCCATTCAATCTAAAATAGCCCCTGAATTTTAGTCCGGACTTCTTGATTGCTAAAACAATGTTCACATGACCACTGTTTCGGGGGGTCTCACTCTGAAACTTCTGTCTCAAACTGAGCTGTGCTTAAGATGCTAACTCCTCAGCAGGATTGTCAGTGAGAGCAGACATCTGCAAGAGGAAGAGGAAGAAAAAGCTCAAATCAGCTTGGACCAGACTGACTGTATATCCTCCTGGGACCCGAAAAAAAACTGTATTGCAATATATTTTTTATTTGTGATTTTTATTTTGTGATATTTGTGATCAGTTTGAAAGTAAATGAACATCTTAGCATTTAGATTTTGTTCATTTTATTTTTATATATAATTTTATAACAGGGACAGGGACATTTTGGTTAGTTAAGTTAACAGCTGAACAAATACTATTTTTTTTTGATGACCAACAACTCTGACAAGCTTCTACAGTCACCTCAAAAAGGTTTAGACTCCCTTTTTTTAAAAAAAATCCTGGACATGATAGTACCCTATAATCCCTCAGCCCTATTTAGGCAAAGGAACATAGGCCCCCCATTAAGAGTCTATCTCAAAACACTTAAAAGACAGACTGGTTAACTCAGGGGTCTCCAGCCTCTTTTCTCCAGTGAGCTACCTTTACGAAGCAACCGTCTGACCCCACAGCATTAGGATTTGTTCGCTCGACAGTAGACGGGTACTGTTTTTATTTAACCAATCGCTGCTATTTGGTCATGATGTATATAATGTGCCGCTAACAGGGCTAACTGGTATATTAAGCTTTTCCCAAATCCCAGAAGGAAGAAGGGCAATAACGTCTTTCCGCTTGATAAAATTCATCAAACATTCTCTTTGTTCAAGCTTTAAATCCTCGATCTCGGGAATCGTTGCCAACACAGAATATATGTCTCTTCGTTGATTGGCTGGTGCCCGAACTCACACTTTCA